GTCTCTCTCGCTCTCTTTGGCGCGCGCATGCGCGGGCGCGTTAATTTGCTATCTGGCTCAATCTGTCTTGTGTGTCGCCTCAAAACCGCGCTCTCGTGAGTTGACTCGCGGCTAGCGGGCTACACTCCCTCGAAGCGGCTCTGACGCCTGCACACCTGCACGGTCAAGGCGACAAGGTGAGACACGAGGATAGGCCACGCCTGGGCTGCAGAGGGAGCAGAGAGGACGAGGGATAAAAAGGAAAAAGGCATGGGCACAAGTGGGCGCCAGGCCGCGAGAAGCCGGTCGGCCCGGCTGCGCAAACTCCCCGCATGCAAGCCGTCAAGCTGTCATCACCTCTCGCCCTGGCTCGGCCGGAACGGGGTCGGGCGAGGCCGTCTCTCGCACCGACAGCCAGACCCATTGGACGACCTGACTCCCCTTTCCATGTTGTGCTTTGGGGGTGGGGGTGGGGGTTGGGAAGGAGGGGGCAGTGGCCAACTGCAGCTCCGTTTGTGGGGATTCAAGAGGACCAGGCCTGCAGGCCCGAAATGAGCTCGACCCACTGACGCACATCATGTGACAGTGCAACGCAAGCACACAACCCAGTGGATAGATAGACATTCGGCATGAAACACACTCTTGCTAATGGCCAATCGCAAGTCGGCGAAAAGGTGCCAGAACTGCTCCAGTCAGCGTCCACTGGTCGCCCACACGGACAGGGCAATGATCGGCTCGACCCACCCTCCCCGACCCCTTCGTGCCTCAGCTCCGCCTCGCTTTGGCTCCTCTTTCTGGTTGCCTTTTTGCAGGGAGGGCAGGACGCCATGGCCACTGTGAAGGGCAATTGGTAGCCTGCAACGACGAGCTCACATCAATCGAAAACACAGCTGGCGTTTCGTCGGCAAGGCCTTTCAGGTTGACGTTAGGAGATCAACATTTAAAAAAGGATAAACGCCGCTGAACCCAGCCTGACGCCTCGGGGACCACATCGAGGCGCATCTTCCAATTAGCCTGAACAACGCAACGCTGTTTAGTTGTATGAAAGACCGGTTCATGAATTGCTTATCATTGCGGTTTCACAGGCAACGTTGTTTAAATCAAGCAATGGGCATGCAGCACAAACTGGCCTGGCCACAGTCATCAGTCGCTTTTCAGTAGAAAAGTGGTTTGATCTTGTTATCCACTTTTTGAGTTACCAGGACAGCAGCTCGTCCGAAGTCCTCCGCCATTGTAGACATGATAATTCACAGCGTTTGGGCGTAAACTTGTTACTCTCACAGTTACAGTCGTCAAGGCATGGACTGTATGTATCTTTTTGGCGAGGTATAGTTTGATGCTGGAGCATGGCAGAGCGCATTGACAACGCCGAATAGTACCAGACCCCTGCTGCAGACTATGGACATAGAATTTGCATTTCACTTTCGGATATCTCATGGCAGTAGGAAAGCATGTCAAATCATGTGCGTCAAAGTATTTGCTGGATTAAAGCCAAGAAGATTTCAATCGAAAAGTTCCAGCCAGTACTTTTGCAAATAAAACGATGAGATGGGTTGACCTCGTTGTCGCAACTTGGTCTTGTGTTCAGGGAGACTATGTAGAACGCACCGAGTCCGAA